CATAATTCCTGCTAAAAGGTTAGCAACAGCGATATCCGCCATGGCTTGCCGAGTCTTGATCGTGGCTGAGCCGATATGAGGCATCACAACGCAGTTCTCAAGCGAAAACAACGGATGTGTAGGAGACAGCGGTTCAGGGGCCGTCACATCTAAACCAGCAGCTGCGATCGCCTTGTTTCGGAGTGCTTCCACGAGTGCATCTTGATCCACTAGCTCACCTCTGCCAGTGTTGATCAAAACCGCGCTTGGTTTCATGAGGTCGAGCTCTTTAGCGCCGATACTGCCGCGAGTCGCCTCAGTCAGTGGCTGGTGGAGACTCACGATATCACTTTTACGCAGCAGCGTCTCCATGTCCACGTACTCGACTGAACCTGGTTCGCCCCCGAGAGTCTGGGCATTTTCAGGTTTTTCGCGAGGTCCTGTGTAGAGGATCTTGCAGTTGAATCCGTTCTGAAGCATACGGGCGTACGTTGTACCAATCCGCCCAAGACCGACGACGCCAACTGTACTACCGGTGACGTCGGAGCCACAGTACTGGAAAGGCTGCCAGACGCCCCACTCGCCGTTCTTGGCGCTTGCCGCGCACTCGAGCAGTCGTCGCTTGCTTGCAAATGTCAGCGCTACGGCTGTCTCAGCGGTGGACACATCCAGAATCCCCGGGGTGTACCCCACCTTCACATTTCGAGCTTTGCAGGCCTCCACATCGATGTGGTTGTGGCCGACTGACATGGTGGACACAACGCGTAGTGAGGGACCCGCGGCATCCAAAACTTCAGCGTCCACCTTGTCCGTTAGCAGACAGAGCAGCCCTGTGCATCCCTTCACGCATTTGAGCAGCTCCTCACATGGAATGCAGCTCTTCTCGGAGGAGAAAGACTCCACTGAGACCGCGTGGGCTCCGGCTTTCGCAAGTCGCTGACTGGGACGACGCAACGCGAGATGTTTAGTATCATAGAGAGTGGCGGGTGGTACAAATTAACTGGATTCTCAACGGCTTTACCGTACCAATGGCATACGGCACATTCCGAGAGAAAAAGACCTTCCGGGGCGAAGCGGAGCTCATGTCGAAGGAGAGGATCAGCTTTAAATACAAACTTTGAGTGTTGAAAGTGACGCTCGAAAATAACGATGCTGAATTATTGGTAGAAAAAGAAGATTTGAGGATCTCAAGCATCTCAGTTGCTCATTGCAGTCATATTTGCAGCGTCCATGAGTCCTCCGATTGCCCCCCGCAAGATTTTCTTCACGCGTAACTGGCCATACGCAATTGGTGAGGAATATTCATTGGGGGCTGATGAAAAGAGTAGTTTGACTGGTTCTGATGTCAAGTGCAGATTTACTACGCCAGCGAATTGGAGGTTCTACTACCACATCGACGTGGAGGCCTGCAAGGCTTGTAGCATCCGTGTCGGGCATACCCCGGAGTGCTTGATATGGCTGTAGCAGAGATTGCCGTGGCCCTGACCTTCGCCGCCAAACGACGGGTACTCGAATGTGCGGCAAGCGCTAAGAACGGTGAGTGGGGCGTCTGGTAGCCATTTCAGTACTGCGGCACCGACATCACTGGTAGTACTGTCGGTGTCGTTGGTCTAGGACGCATCGGTGCCACGTACGCGCGTATGTTGAGAAATGGTTTCAACTGTAAGATCCTCTACACGGGGACCTCGTGAGAAGTCCGGCGAGGCCAAATCGCTTGGTGGTGAGCCTGGTTCGATTGGTATGTAGACATGGAGAGACTGCTGCGCGAAAGCGACATTGTCACTCTCCACCAACCACTGACTGAGGCGACTCGCGGCAGCATCGGCGCTAAAGAGCTAGCTATCATGAAACCAAGCGCAGTTTTGATCAACACTGGCAGGTGGACCAAGATGCTCTCGTGGAAGCTCTCAAGAGCAAGACGATCGCAGCGGCCGGCTTGGACGCGACGACCCCAGAGCCGCTTCCTCCCTCACATCCGCTGTTCTCGCTTGATAACTGCATCGTACTTCCCCACGTAGGGTCATCTTCAACGAAGACCCGCCAGGTGATGGCGAAAATCGCCATAGACAACGAATGGGGGGCAGGGGTTCCGAAAAGGTTATTTTTATTAAATATAATTGTTTTTTGCAGTAAAATAATTTATTTTCGAGCTCCCATTTCAAAATCAAATAATTTATTCCGCGCTCTCTCCAGGCAATAACGTGAGGCTTCCACCAACTAGACGAGTATCAGCCCACTGTACATTGCATGCAATAGCACCAATTATTTTTGCACCCGTGGTGCTCCAAGCACTTAAAGTTATTTTATTGCTGTTTTGCCAGTCTCAATAAAAATAACATTTTCGGAACCGGGCGAAGACCTTCCGGCGGTGTACTAGAGCAAAAACACTACTTTGAGTCATACCCGATACTGGAGACAGATGAGCGGCTCGCCCAGTAATGTAGCAGATTAAGTTACTGCAGCCACTTCAAGACATCAACTATTGCGTTGCGTTGAGAGCCTCGTCTGCTAAACTAAATTTACTGTTGGACATCTTAATGACCTTCCTTCGTTCATAAGTGTCCACTGCTAACTTCTGCCTAGAGCTTCTGCCGATCTACGTTTTCTCCGATGTCTGAGTCATTGTGAACAATGTCCAGGAAAATTTTGACGACCTCGTCGAAGCCATACCGTGGCTCGTCACCATTCATGAGATCCTGTAGCCATCGCTGTTCGATCACCGGAAGGAGTTTTTCTAGTCGCTCTGTGGTGCAGTGCGGGTCGCGCTTCTTGCCAGGTTCCAGCACTACGCCCTGCTCGCGCAGTTTAGCATTGCGAATCAAAGTCTGCACTTTGATTCGGACCACTTGGATCAGCAGGTCCTTGTCCACTTGGATCGGCGGAATATGCACGTCCTCGACGAGGCGTCTTCCACGTTGTTGAGTCGACTGCTGTCGCTCCTCGGACGCTTGCGGCCGGAGTGCTCCAGCTTGACGACGTCTTCGGGCAAGTCCGTCACTGACGGCGTCAGGGTCATGAGCAATTAAGCAATGACCAGACACGGTGGTGCCCGCCAGCTGGACAGCAGAATGACGACTGAACTGACTTGCAGTGCACAGTGACAGACTAATGTGCAGGAAGCCAATAACGCAGCTCGTTAAACATACTTTCTTCTCATACAGGAAAACTTGACCAATGAAAAGATCGCCGCAGCACGGAGATTTTCAACGCACTAACACCTAAATCTTGAGCACAAACTAGTTTTGACAAAATTCTTAACAATCAGAACAAATGGTTTTTTGAAAAGTAATTTAAGAGGAAAACTTGACCAATTAAAAGCACGGAAATTTTCAAGTTTCTGACACCTAAATCTTGAGCACAAACTCTAGCTTGACAAAATTCTTAGCAATCAGAACAATTGATTTTTATATAATAATTAAGTTTAAGAAAACTAAGTTCTCAACCCCGCCCGTTGAAACAGCTGCATTATATTACAAAAATATCATTGACAATTCATTTTATTTGGACAGCATCAATACGTAGGTTGCCTAGAGCAGATACCTTCTTCTTCACCAAGTTCTAGGCTAGAAAAACCTTAGAGAGCGCTGTAATACATTCAGCGGTACCGGTTTAATTAACTCAGCCATGACTAAAAATACCGGTAAGGAATACCTCTATTTAAATCGAGGTATGCATTAGGGCAGGATCTTAGGCGAAATGGCTACATTTATGTTGTTTCCAAAAACGCACATAGCCGGGGAGTAGATATATTGGACTAGGGATGTCAGCACTGCCATCATACGCGGCACCATTCGCTACTTGCCGTGCCGCACCTCGAGTGGATCGTCAGCCCCTTTCACCCCCCTCGCAAGCCGCTGACTGAGCTATGTCGACCGAGATGAAGGTCTCGCTCAGCATCAAGGAGTACGTGCTGGTGTCCATGACGGTGACACTCGTGCCCATCCTGGGGCTGGAGCTCTACGGCGTCTCGCATACTCGCAGCCACAACAAAGCCTTCCACGACGGTACGCCGGGCATGCCGCAGCTTACGGACTTGGTGGTCGCAGGCGCCTCCGCCGTGCTGCTCATTGGTGCGCGTTTTGTCGCTGGAAAAGCATTTGCGCCCCTTGCTCGCGTCGTGCTCTCGCCTAAAAAGCGCGTGGTCGAAGACCGTGTACATCGCTTCACCACTGTGTTGTTCAAGTTCATGTGAGCAGATTATAAAGTTCTACTAACCGAGGGGGAGATGCGTATTGACAAATTGGATTGGTGCTGGGTTTGAATAGGTACTTTTTTGCTATCACCATCGTTGGCTTTAAGGTGATGGAGCACGAGCCGTGGCTCCCACCGTCACTAGGAGGCAAGGGCGAAGCGATAAAGACATTCCATGTGCTGTCCGACGCGCCGTCTAGCGCACTCACGTATTATTTCATGGTGCAGCTCGGATATCACCTGCACAGCTTGCTGTTCATGGTCTTCTTCTCACCGATTCGCAACGACTTTATCGAGATGCTGCTTCATCACGTGGCCACGATTCTTTTGATTGGCGGGTCGCATTTGGCTAACTTCACGGAATTTGGTGCACTCGTGGTGTTCACACACGACGTGGGCGACGTAACTGGATGTACGTGCAAGATAGCGATCGAGTGGACTACCGGTACCCGTTTAAACTAACTCTGCTTTCTATTGCTTTTTGTGCAGATGGTATCAAGTCGATTGTGGACTCTGGTAACACGCCACTGGTAGTGTTCATGTACCTGGTGCTGCTGGTGTCGTGGGCATACACACGGCTGTTCGTATTCCCGTGCCATCTCATCAAGACTACATTTACCGTGCTATCAGAAGAGCACTTGGGCATCAACCACACATTCGCGCACCCGATGGTTGCAATGCTGTGCATGCTCATGGTGCTTCACGTATACTGGTATTTCCTCTTCCTAGTGATGGGGTATGCACTGGTGAACAAGGGCGTGGCCGAAGACATTCAGCATAAGGTGGAGGACCCCAGCGAGGAAGAAAACCAAGCCGAAGAAGCCAGTGCTGAGGCATCGCACGTCAAATCCAAGGACGACTGAGGTTGCCGCAATAAATCAACAAAACATGCATTTGTACGAATTGGATTATGATCACGATTGTTGATTAAAGTCAGGCCAGATTTGATCTAAAACCGTTTCTTGCTGTGGACCCCATAAAATACCGACCAAATACTGTTCACGGGACGCATAATCAGATCTGATGATTTGATTTTAGAAGATCGGCTGTCGGATACGGATGGGTGGTCGTGAAAAGCATACAGAGTCCAAGAGAGTGTGATCCGGGGTCCGATCCGGCAAAGTGTCGTCGAAGGGCAGTTGCTCACCAACATATCCCATCCTGCCCCCCTGATCGTTCGTCAAGCGAGCGTCCAGCAGCAGTCATGGCCGCCACTGAGATGAAGGTGCTCTTTAGCGCCAAGGAGTACGTGCTCGTGGCATTGACGCTGCTTCTCGTGCCAATTGTGCTGGCCGAGCTCTTTGGCGTGGCGCAAATGCGCGCTGCCATCCCCGAGTTCCAGACGGACCCAGACATGCCACATATCAGTGAGTGGCTCATCGGCATCGGCTTCGCTTTCGTCACCATCACACTACGCTTTGCCTTTCTGGCCGTGGCCAAGCCTCTCGGCCGCCGAGTTCTGTCCCCAACCAAGCGACTGCACGCGGATCGTGTCGAGCGCTTCGCTACGGTGCTCTTCAAGTTCCTGTGAGCGAACTGCCTCGTCTCTGAAGGTCGGAGGAGCCTGTGGTTGCTGACTTAGACTTGCTTTTTCTGCTCGTGCTGATACTGTTGTAGATACTTTGCTGGTATTACTGTGGCTGGATACTACGTTATGCGCGACGAGAAGTGGTTCCCACCTGTGCTGGGAGGCAAGGGTGAGATCCGTGAGGCTTACTTGATCTTGAATGAAGCACCAGGCTTCGCTCTCAAGTACTACTACTTCGTACAGCTCGGCTACCATTTCCACAGTCTACTGTACATGCTGGTCTTCTCCCCTATCCGTAACGACTTCATCGAGATGCTTCTGCACCATTTGGTGACGATCATCCTCATCGGAGGATCGTATCTTGCCAACTACTGCGCCATGGGAGCGCTAGTGACGTTCACGCATGACATTGGCGACGTGACTGGCTGTAAGTTTGCGTCTCTTGCAACTAATGGCGATAATTTTTACTAACACTGCGTTTTTATGTGTCTGTCAATGCTGAATAAATAGACGCTATCAAGTCGGTTGTCGATACAGGCAACACTCCACTGATTGTAGCCATGTACGTCGTGCTCCTGGTCTCTTGGGGCTACACGCGGCTGTACGTGTATCCGTTCCACTTAATCTACAACGCCATCTTCGTGATCCCTGAGGCCAATCCGCATGTGGTTGGCATCTTCTTGCATCCGGGCAACGCGCTGCTTTGCATGCTGGTAGTGCTGCACGTGTACTGGTATGGTCTCTTCCTCGTCATGGGCTACACTCTCATTCGCAAGGGCTTGGCGGAAGACATCCAGGACAAGTGCTCGGATGTCGACGAAGTCAAAGGAGAAGAAGCGGCATCGAAAGCCAGTTCTAGCAGCAAACCGAAGAACGAGTGAGGATTAAGCACGGCGTTGCAATGGCTACAGAATCCCTTTTCAACTATCTTTTGCTCCAGAGAACTTTTGCTCCAGAGAACCCGACATACTCGTGCAGTGTACTTGTTCAATATTAGCGCGAGGATGCACTGCAAATTATGTCGTCATTTTTAGCAATTGCTAAATTAAGATTTCTTCGGGTGACCGAAGAATAGTGCTGGTCGCAATGAGGTTGCAGCCATGTGCAACGTGTGCAGAACGCTGGGGGCAAATACTCTCTACAATATTTAGTAGTATTTAGCCACTGTATTCTGCGGTGGCAGGAGTTGATGCACCATGGTGTCAAACGACGCGGCTTCATCGTCAGTCGTGAGACGGCCTTGTGTATGGCACATGGCCACGCACACATGTGTTATTCCCACAATCGGAATTTTTCTCAACATGGCAGACAACTGGCTGGCCGATATCATTTTGGGCATCGGCGTTAATGTGGCGGTACTGCTGCTCTGCTGGCTGCGGGGCACACCCTCAAGCACAGGGCTGCAGCTTTCGAGTAACACACGGAGAGCTGCGGAGAACAGGAACGGTCTTAGCGTTTATGCAACGTTTCCGAGCCACTTCAGCAGCGGACTGTGCGGCGAAGACGTGCAGCTGGCAGGGGGTGTCGTGATCGCAGTGGCCATTACGGTGTATATGGCGACCGAGATCACAGCGACGGCGTCGAGCATGAGTCGAGGCGCATTAACGTGAACGGAACAGCGAACAGTTTACTTAAAATTAAAACCAAGCCAATTTTTAAAAATGAACACTCATGGTTACCGCATTTTTCGATAAACGGCACACGCGGTGATCTCATAAGTTATGAGTCATTTCAGGAAGACCAGCAGGATATTAATTCATCTTCTGAGGGGAAAGTGACGGACCAACTACTGAAAGAAGACACTTTAGCCCAACAGCCTTGCTTTCGACCGGTCGCACAATATGCGACTGCTCCAATTGCTGACCCTACGACAATGGAGAACTGGGTCTTGGAGATTGCACTGGGCTTCAGCATGAGCGTGGCGGTACTTGCTTTCTGCAGGATCAGCGGCTGGAGACCCGTGGACACTAGCAGCAGCATACGATGGCACGACGCGCAATTCGACTACGAGGAGACCAACGACGTCGAAGTCATCGAGCCAACTATACTCTGGAGCGGCGGCATGGAGACGACAGTGGGGTTAGTTGTGGCTGTGTCGGTAATGGCAGCTGTGGCAGCGGAGATAGCATTGGAAGCCGAGAGACACCTAATCGGAGCTGCAAGGTACTAAAAAGATTCTGACCAAGAGCTTCTTGGCGCCTGGAGAGCCTGGACGTACCAAGAAACACAGTAGGGCAATTTAGTTTTCCAACTACGTTGTTGTTTTCCGTATTGACTGGTTGTTAGCAGAATTTTCCTGACATCTCGCAGGCTAGACTAAGGCTGCAGCACCGCTTTTAACACCACCCTTGTCGACTTCTTCCCTCACGTACTCAAGCCCACCAGCGTCGTTGCCTCTGCTGTCACGGAACACCCTGAGCCCGAGGTACCCGTCCTCATTGTCACTGCTGCTGCTATACGGCCCCCCACCTTGTGCTTCACGCTGTCCTCGCTCTCGGCCGTCCAGATACATCTTAATGAACGTGAAGGCGAGGAAGGCTACCAGCAGGGCGCAAAATGCGATGGCAACCCATACGTAGATGACACCATTTTATCTCGCTTGAAGCAAGTCGATGCGTTTCCAGTCCAATCGCCAAATGACAAATGACAAATGACACGGCAGAGACTTGTAGCTCATCCTTGATCCTCACTGAGGATTCCTCAGTAGTGTACCCAGTGAGTCACTGGCGCCGGGTCAATAGAAAAGAAGGAATCCAAGTTACTTACATCATGTAAGAAACCTCATGGCTTAAACTACATGTGGTTATGATCGCCACTTCAACTTGGGTCTTACAAAATGCAAGATAATTGATGATTTGAGTTTACTAAGAAAAACTGTGTGTTTCTTTTTTACAGCTTTGGACAAATTTAGTGCACATCATTTTTGTGTCATTCCGACCACCATTCATCATGTTGGCGCGTCGTCGGCCCTTCGTAGCATCCTACGTGCGTCGCGCTGCTCTGCGAGCGTTGAGCAGTGCTGTCGCCCCTCCCCACTTCGATGTGGTCGTGGTAGGCGGTGGACACGCGGGCTGCGAAGCTGCCGCAGCTGCCTCCCGAACCGGTATGCTCCACTCTAATTTACCAACCGCATTTTTGTAGCTGTTCACCTCTTTCATGACAACTGCGCAATGCTACTCAGGTGCTAAAACCGCATTGGTGACGCAGAAGCTGGCAACAATTGGCGAAATGTCGTGCAATGTAGGTGGCAGTCCACTATTCTTGACTACTGTTTCTAGAAGCCGTTCCAACTCACCAAAATGTGTGCACCTTGACAGCCGTCCATTGGTGGAGTCGGTAAAGGTACTTTAGTGCGCGAAGTGGACGCAATGGGTGGCCTCATGGGCCAGGTGGCCGACGCGGCCGGTATCCAGTTTCGTATGCTCAATTCGGCCAAGGGGCCAGCGGTGAGAGGCCCGCGAGCTCAGATGGATCGAGATTTGTATCAGCAAGGAATACAGAAAGCACTACAGGAACTGCCGAATCTCTGGCTGGTAGAAGATGGAGTGGACGACCTCATGTTGGAGAAGATAAACCAGAGTAACGACGACGTAGAGGAGCGCGTGAAGGGCGTAGTGACGTCTTCAGGTCGCGAGATTCAGGCTTCACAGGTGGTTATTACGACGGGCACGTTCCTCCGTGGTATGATTTATCAAGGACCCGATATTCGCATTCCGGCAGGACGACACATGCGCGACACGGCTGGCCTTGAGCCTCCAGCAGTTGGTCTGGCGCAGACACTAGAGCGTTGCAAATTTCCCCTTGGTCGCTTGAAAACCGGCACGCCACCTCGCCTTGATGGACGCACGATCGACTACTCAGACCTTGAAGTGCAGCCAAGTGACAACCCGCCGAAGCCATTTTCCTTCCTGAACGAGCACAAACAGGTCCCACTCGCAGATAAACAGGTCGTCTGTCACGCTACCTACACGAACGAGGACAGTCATCGTATTGTACGTGACAATCTGCACATGCTACCGCAGTATG